TAATATTTTTATTGAAAAAATATTTTCGGGATTTTAACGGGTTGAACTTATTTTTGTACTAAAATATTTAAGACAAACCAAACAAATAAAAACAAAATAATCAATAAAAAGTATCAACTCTTTTTAAAATAATATTATAAAGAGCGACCCAAAACTGATAAATAATGAAATGTCCAATTTATATTTGATTTTATAATTAAAATTCTTATATAAAGCGGGATTATTCGAATAAATATTTAACTTTTAATCTATATCAAAATTTTAAACTTTCTAATTTCAACAAGTATTAAACAAGCTTTGATCTTATAAATGTTTGTAATCAAAAACTTTAAAACCCAAATTAATGCAAAATTGTAATATTTGTTATTTGTTGTACTGACACAGCTTATTGTATTCTCTTCAGTGTCTTTGTTAATAACACTTTTAAAACTTACAAAAAATACCAAATTAAGTTATGACATTGAAATAAATAAAACTATTAATTATACTCAACACAGTCACATAACAAACAAAATTAAAACAGAAAATGTTATTGATAAAAATATTCAAACTAAGTTATTGGCGACAAAAACTTGTTATTTTTACAAAGAAAACAAAACTTATGAATCAAAAACTAAAATTGTCGAATTTTCTATCATCACAGATGATTTAAAACACTACAAAGAAAACATTGAAAATATTCGATATAATCTTCCAGTATACACAGACTCATTAATTAATACAACTCGATTTAATTACCAAGAAAACTGTGGTAAAGTATTTCAGTACAAACCGAACAACAAACGCGATTTGTGGCTCACCGCAGTTGGTTTTAAAGATGTCAATTACTTCAAGCTAATACAAAACGAGACTATTGTTTCTTTTGGTCTTGCTCAATCTTCAATTCCAAATGCCGACAAGGTTGTTTTGTTGCTTCCGGGTGTTGAAATACCCGGTTTTGATGCATTGACAACTAAATATGGAATTAAAGTACTGAAAATGGACTTTTCAATATTTTCGGAGTTCTCTAACAAAAAGATGAATTTGAGAAGTTTCAAAATAGAAGACAAAAAGAACGGAAATGTCGTTCACTACAACAACACGCAATATGTCGAAAAACTTCGTCTCTTTGAAAATCAATTGAAAACAATTTTAGAACACGAGAACTTGCATGAAACAAACGAACACAAGGAAATGACCGTTTCTGTAAAATCTTTGTATTAAATGCAAAGCACGGAAAAACAAATTAATATCAACAACTCAGTCAATTCTACTTTAGCATCAATTCGACCATTTGACAAAATTCAAGATGCTATAAAGCGCTTTCTAAATTTTCATCATATCTCTCACAAAATCAAGAAAAGTACGACCGAGTGCTAATCAGCGACTTTAGAGACGTTTACATTTTTGCAGACTTTTTTGCGACGTTTTCTGGTGATGAGATGGTCTTTGTTTTTGAATGTCAAGGAGACAAAAAGTCGTGTGTCACTTTTTCAAACAAATTTATGAAAAAGTGGATGGAGTATTCTTATGGAATAAAAGAAACTGCAAATTACATTAAAAATGGCTCTATTTTGATTAATGTGGGAAATGTCTTTGGAGGAACAGAACAAGTATTGGAGTATCTCCACTTAATGGAAAAGTACATCAACCCATCAAAATGGGCATCATGGGGACATGATCAAAGCGTCCACAATTATGTATTCTACTCATTTTATTATCCCAAGTATCAAATGTATTTAAAGTGTTAGGAGGATCAAAAAAGAATTCAAATGAATAAAAAAGTAATTGATAGTTGAAGTAATTATGATATGAAGGATGAAGTGTGTGAAAAAGTCGAAATGGAAAAATGTACTTAAAGATTTTGTTTCAAAGATAAAAACTATTTGTTTTACGATAGCAAAAACAAAAGTCTAAAAATAATAGGAACAAATTGCGGGCCAGTCGCACGTCATAAAATAGGATTGAACAATTTTAAAATGAATTGGTCGAGTTTAGAACAGAAATTTTAGTGTTTTTTTTGTCTGTTGTTTTAAACTTAAAAACTTCATTGTCATTTGTCTTTATATAAAAATTTAAAGATTTTTATTTAAGGTTTAAAGATTGA